TTCTCTTGTTCTTTTTTGGAGAATTAAAGAAAGCAGCAGGTCACCTCACAAAGAACAATAGTCAAAAAACACTTACAAAAGTTGAAAATGGATGTGAGGTTGTTACTAAAGGTATATAGGGAGGTTAGTGGGGAAAAAACGCTTGTTCTCAGAAACCAGGTTTCACACAATAACAGGCACTAAAACTAGCTGTGTGTGCTTGCAACAGGAGAGAATACTCTTAATTAAGGCTGGTCCTTTTCATGATACGCAGGAAATCTTCCTCATTGACTCCCCCTTCTCCACTACAAGCAGCTTTATCAATCATATCCTGCAAGAAGTAAGGATTCAGGTTAGATTAATTCATAATGAAGCTAAAATGTGACCAAGCAACAGGCTTTTCTAATACTACATGAATAGACAACTGTCCAAGGTTCCTGAAAAGTTATCTGAAATCGAAGTCATACTTTGTCATATATATCACCTAGAAGGGAGCTCGAGTGGATTCCTAAAGCCTAACACTGAAAGTAAAACTGTCCATGTGTGTATTTTTCTGAGAGCAGGGTGCACAGGTTTGTCACACTACAAAAGGGAAATTAAGTGGTCAACAGAGGGACAAGAAAAAACACTAGTTTTCCTTCAAAGTGGTGCTCACATCAGACAAAATGTAACTCAGAAGAGTCACCCAGAGCTCTAACCAGGAATTCTGGGTTCCAGGCGGGTGCATTACAAACCTGAAGCTCTTCATCAGTCATGTCCTCACCCAACTCCTTGGATACGCGTTTGAGATTGTCAAACGATATGGTCCCAGTTTCATCATCATCAAAGAACTTGAAAGCTTTCAGGATGTCTTCTTTGGAATCTTTCCCGAACTTAACAAGTAGAACATAAAATACATGAGTAATGAAACACTGCAGTTATTCATTACTGTATAACCCCTCTGCCCTCCCCTACATCATTGCTTGGTCTTGGTGACAGCCTTTGTGACATAGGTCCTAGGAGATCAAACATCATTCAGGGTAGAAAAAGAGGACAAACTCAATGACATTACAAACCCTAGAAGCTCAAAAGGAACTTAATAAGGCACTGCACTTACCGCATTCTTTCTATACAAACCAAAGAAAAACTGGATTTGTTTTTAAAATACAGTAGCAGAGGGGTGCAGTTAAAATTAGGGGAAATATAGGGACTGCACCTTGTCAAAATGTGAGATACTGTAATATTGTTGGTGTTTATAGGCTTTATTGCTTGTGGTTATCATATTGATATACCAGTTAATGAAAGACAATAGCAAAAAAAGTGACAGCAGTAGTACCTTCACTACAGAGGGTAACATGACTTTTCTTGTGACATTGTGGTCTTGAAGAGCTAACTTACCATTTTTTGAGTCATCAAATTCAAGAAGTCATTGAAATTCATTTTTCCTGTACCTTCAGGATCCACTTCATTTATCATCTTCATAAGCTCTTCTTTCTTTAGTTCAAAGCCCATTGCTCTCATCACCACCTACAATGAAAACAGGAGTATCTCAATATACACATGTAAATATAGCAAGAGCAAAAATGACAGTGTTGGGAGCATTAAGCCAGCATCTGCACTCATTTTACTGAATCACACTTGAAGTAAAGATAGGAGAAGAGCACAATGTATTCTTCCCTTGTTACTTTTTCCAGGGAGAAGAGGACAATGGGAGTAGAGTGGTGACAAGGAAAGAAGACAAAGAGGCATAGGAAAGGAAAGGAGGCAGAGCCGGAATGTACAGATCTTGCCTTGAGCTC